GAGGTCCCCCCGTACACATGAGCAATCGTGGACTGGGAAGGGAGTGGGGGAAGCAGCACCAACCAGTCAGCCACCTGACCAGAGACACGTCCAGGCCTTTGTCACTATGGGAGGTCTGAATTTCATGCTCCAGGGAAGACTGACAGCATTTCGAGTGCGGGTGCCAACTGCGAGAGTTGCAGGAGATGAGGCAGGAGGCCCTACAGGGGCAGCCATCTAAGTAGGGGCACTGAGGTGATGGGGGACTTGGAGCTGGACAACAATTGGACTGCTCTGCAGGCCCCTCCACCTTTCTGCCCATACTGCCATAGAGATTGCGATCTACAGCACTAGTGTGAGCAGAACAGTAATGTTAGAAGGGCCGTGCACGCCAGTGGTCTTGAGGGTGCCGAGTTAATGGGATGCTGGCTCTGCCTCCCTTTCTCCGAGCCCAGCCAGCTTTGTGGCCCACAGCAGAGAGATCAAGAACGGCTTCTCTACAGCGACTTATCGCTGCTTCCAGATCAGCCATCACGGCTGACGGAACCGTGCCAGGCACCCTTGGCAGGACAAACAGACACCACCCCCCCCCCCCCCCCCCCCCCCAAAGTCTGAAGGGGCCATTTAGTCTTTAGAAATCCCAACAAGGGATGGATCGAGTTGTGGATAAGGTTTTAGCCTGATCCTATAGATAACCCACAGAACCCAGTTCCAATAAGTTGCTTTTCCAGTGGAGTTATTCCAACTGTGACTCTGGACGTTTGAAACAAGCAGCCTTGGACAACTGAAACCTCTTGCAAGCAAAAATGATAAGGGCTCATTTGTGCAAGATAAGGATTTGAAATCCAAGCCCCGCTAAGGTGGGCGGGGGGGGGCAGCGCTCTACTTTCAGGGTTCTGACCCCAGCACGGCAGATCCCTACCCTTTCCCATTTGGAGTTGATGATCTGCGGTGTGACAGACGTGTAGGGGTTGTTCCCAGACAGCTTGATGTTGTTGTAGTCCGCGATCCTCTGTGCCTCGCTCTGGATGCCCAGAATGGCTTCTCGCTCTTTGTCGGCATCAGGCAGGGTGGATTTGAACTGGTCGTGTGCTGCAATCAGTCCCTGGAAGAGACCGGAGCTCCCACCGTCAGCTGTCTGGCTAATTCAGGTCACAGCATTTTAGCAAACCCTCCTAGTCCTGCCTTGCAGGCTGGGGTATTCTTAGACAAGGAAAGCAGGGGTTTCAAATACCCACCAGTCACCTGGAAGTTTAGGACCAAGCACTAAAGGCTTGGTAGGGGGAGGGGAAATCTTCAAACCTCAGAAGTTTGTGGGCCTTTCTAACCTGAACCCCATCTCTGGATCTCAGGAACCCAAACCAATTTGAGCAGTATGAGAGCCCAGTAATGAAGCCCACTAGAAACGAGACACTGGAAGCTCTCCAATGAGCAGGGCTTGAGCAGACAGCACTGGCTCTGCAGACAGACACACTGACCAGCCTTCAGGGCCTGGGGAAAAGGTTGTAGCAGAGAACAGCACCTTTCACTTCACCGGACCAATCTCTGCATGCTATCCCCAACAAGCCTTGGCCTCCTACCTCTATCTCCTCGATGGTGTGAACGATGAACATGTCCTGGAGATCTTCCATGGCGCTCTCCATCCAGTTGTTGAATGGTGCTGCCCTCTTGGCATATTCCAGGTGCAGCTGGTCAATGGTTTCCAGCTGTTTCTCCGTTTTCTGTGGGGGTGGAACACAGGGCAGGGCTATGTTAGGCACAGACAAGCTGATCACCCCAGCAGGCGCCAGGGACATTATTTCCTCCTTGCTTCCTCTGGGATCCACGGTAGAGTTAGCACGTGACAGAGCTTTGCTTACCTCAAGGGCCTCTCTTCTACTGTGGGTCAAAGAGCCCAGAACATCCCACTGGTCACAGATCTTCTGGCACCGGGCATTCACACTGGGGGAGTCATAGTAATCCAGCTCGCTGGGGGTAGAGGGAAAGGCACAGATATTAAATTACGCCAGGCCCAGCCAAGAACAGATCAGAGTTGAAGTGCAGCAATTTACAAGGAAAAAAATCCTCAGTGTTCAGAAGTCCGCTCTGACTCATTCTTCCAGAGCCTTCTAGATGGCTTGGCTCAACTCAGCCCCTTGGTCAGTGCATTTCAGAGACTCCGTGCCTGAATGGAGCAGGGCTGGGGCAGTTTGAGCAAGGGGGGAGGGGAAGGAGGGAAGGATGGGGTGGTAGGGGTGTCATTTAGGAGCCCGTTTCCTTCCTCTTCTGAGGCAGGACTGCAGGACGTGTGTCTTCAGCCTGGCCAGGTGGTGGCCTACAGCTCAGCCTGCCTCTTACTACTCCCTCTGGTCTGCAGCTCCCCACACTACCCTCAAAGAAACATGCAGACTGGCCTGTTCCAGGCTGGGACCACCCTGCCATCCACTAGGGTCTAAAAGGCAGCAAGTCACTGCATGTGCGAGCGGCGTTGGGCACAGAGATGAAAGCCACACAGGTAGGGCAGGGATACCAGCAAAGCCATTTGCAAGGAGCTCAACTTTTAAGAGCCCCCCTGAGACTAACTGCAGAGCCCAGATGAAAGGGAAGGAGTCGCCACTTCAGGGCACGCGCTCACTTTGATCAGCAGCTCATCACAGACCAGGCCCTGGTAGCTCGTTCATGGAACCCGGCGTGTGCTGGGAGAGCTCCTGCACCGGGATGCTGAGCGGCCTTCGCTGCTCCCCCTGCCTCCTCCCTGGGCTCCCGCATTGGGGTGTGTTTTCCATGAAGTCATGCTCCAAACCACATGTCCCCGTTCCCAGGTTCTCTACCGCTCGAGCCGCTGGAATAAGGGCTCCATTCATGGCTTCGCCCGGCCTGTGGCTCTCAGTGTACTAATTGTGTGCAAGTTTATCTGACTGGAAGGAAAAAAAAAAAAGGCCGCGGCTCCCTGGAATCTCTTACAATAACTGTATTCTAACAGCGCAGAAAGAGGGAGGGGGAGAGAAGGCGGAACAATAGGGGCACTGTGTGTATTTTGGGGAGAAAACAACCCTATTAGGAACCCATTCAAACAGAGGTGATCCCAACAGCCCGGGGCAAGAGCCAGGTTCTCTGGGAGAGATCTTCAGTGACAAGACCTGTAAAAGCTTATTTTGCCTCTGCCAAAAGTATCGCACAGTGCGTCTTTGTGCAGGAGGCATGCCATAGGAGAGCCACCCGAGACAGCTCAGAGACCTGGGGAGCAGCTTGTTCACCACACCAAGACTCACGGGCACGTTACCACCTGAGCTACGTCAGGTCGCACTTAGGCTCTGCCGACGGAGCCATGAGTCGCACAGACCTTTGGGGTCCGACAAACAGAACCAACTGCTCTGCGTGGAAAAACACCTCACGGAGCACGTTCTGCAAGAGCAAGGGCTGACCCGGGCCCTGAATCCATCCCGAGAGGTGGCTGCATTTCACAGGAACCGAGGAGCAGCGAAGCACAAAGCACTGGAGAGCCTGACTCACTTGAGCTCCTGGGCAATGGCAGCGATCTGCTCCACACGGTCCTGGTGAGCTGCCAGGTCGCTCTCAAAGGCCTCGTGCTTCCTGATCAGAGCTTTGATGTCAGACAGGGTGGCAGTCTCATAGTCCTTCTGCTTCAGCATGGCCTCTTTGCCTGAGGGACAGAGAGGAGCAGAAGCCATCAGACACTGGGTGGGCACAAGAGCGTGAAAGAAGGGGGCCGCTCTGATGTGCCCCACTCCACTGCGCACACCCCAAATCACAGTTTCCTTACAGGGCATCTGGGAAGGGCTCAGGCGATTCCCTGGGCAGGGGAACCCCCCAGCAGCAGGGAAGAGAAAGTTCCACAAAGAACAGAGTTTTTTTGAGTTTTTTTTAAACACATCCATCCCTCTGGCACATCCTGGAGCCAAGAGCCAGCCCGCCACGGAAGGCAAGCTTCCCTTCGCCGACTCATCTGGCACCGCTTTTAAGGGGGCCGTGTTCACTGGTGACCGAGCACACAATCGGCATTTGTGCGTTCATCTACAAGCTATTTGAGCTGGGAGCTCAAGGCTGGTCGGGTGAAAATGCTGCTTTTCGGTTCCCGTCAGCTGTTGCCCAAGATGTTCTGCTTGGAAAGCGCTGCCAGCAGCCAGCCTGGGCCCTCTGGCACCAGCCAGGGGCTGGGTCTTGCAGAAGACTCCCCAGCTCGGCCGAGCAGCGGGGAAGTGGCTGCACGGAGCTGCTACTTAGCTTCCAGGGAAGCGGCTATGGGTGTCAAGCAGGGCCTTGAGGCCTGGGTTCTGTTCTCAGTTCTGCCACTGATGTGCTGGTAACCTCAACCGTGCCACTGGCTTCCCTGTCCTGGCTGATCTAGAGACCACAACCTCAGGGAAGAGATTCCTGCATGCAGCACACAGGGCCTTGACTTTAGTCAGAGCTTCCAGGCAGCAGCTTATCTACTGAGCTGTATGTGCTGCTTCTCATTTGATCCCTGGAAGAGGGGAGTACGCCTTTGAAGCCCTGCCTGCTTTCAGGTCCTGGAGAGGTGTGCGGGAGAGGGGACACCCCAGGGCCTGATCCAAGCAACCCAACCTTGGGACTCAAGGGACACAGGAGGCCAGAAGGAGAAGCACCACCGCAGCACTCCACTCCCTGCCGAATCCCTACAGCCTTCTGCAGGACTTCAGACAGTCAGCTGACCCATGTACAGCCAGACGTCGAGCTCAAGGGCAGGTAGCACTAACTGCTTTCAGGGGTCCCTTAAACACACCCCTAGCACCACGACCAGCTGGTGGGAGGGGGCAGGCAGGCAGGCTAGGACCCTCTGCTCTTAACACCATTGCAGGTAGCAACAGGAACACACAAGTAGCCATGGCAGGCCATAATAGAAGTCACCACCCCCAACAGAAGCTCTGACGGCCAAAGGGACAAGCCAGTTCCTCTATAGGAGCGTCAAAGGTGCAGCCTGCAGACAGGCTGACCATGTGCCTCAGAGTTGACCCACGTGCTGCTAGCGGAGACATAGCGTCTGCATGGGCCTGGTCTGGCCTAGGGGCCTAATGACTTTGACACCTGCTCTATCAAAACAGAGCAGGAAGACTGCAGCTCTTGTGCAGGCAAACACGCAGTCAGCACGGCAGTCAGACCGCCACCCCCCAAGCAGGGCAGCGCGAGCACCTCCTGACTGGCCCCTGCCTCTCCAAGAAGCAGCAGACGCCTGGTCGCCCAAACGGGCCCCAGCACCAGACGGCCCTTTCCACAGATGAGCGTGACTGCATTTTTAAAGCAAGCAAAAACCAAAACCTGTAAGTACTGCTTCAGACACTGTCCCTGGATCACTTCAAGCCCCTTCTTCCCATTAACGACCCGGGTGGCACGCTCCCACCCCGAAGGGATGAGAACAGCATTCCTTCCAGTACAGAGAAGGGATTACCGTATTTTCTATGGAATAAGATGCAGCTGCCATGCTGGAAAGCTCAGAGGATTAGCAGTCATGTCTAGCCATCTGGCTTGAGGGGGGAAACATGACTTCAGCAAGCCACAACCCCGCTACCCAACCACAGAGCTTCTGAGGAAGAGGAAGCTGGCTAACCAGAGAGCGCTCGCTTACGGGACAGCCTACAGAGCCGGTCCAAAAGCCTCAGCTGCAACTAGAGCTTCCACATCAAGTGTGAGCTTTACCCTTTTTCAGCTGCAAACACCTGCAGAAAGCCGCAGAGCCGTCAAACATAGCAGTGCCTCTCAAGTCCAAGCCCTGCTGATTTTAAATCCAAGGTGAAACATCTGGATTGCTCCCTGGTGCCGCGAGGACAGGACAGGTGTTTGCCTAGTCCAAGGCAAGGCTTTGAGCAGAGGCTTTGCCTGTCTAGTTTCCCTTTCTTCTCCCATGTGCGCACCAGAGCCCAGAGAAACAGCACAGCTGCAGAACAGTGCAAGTTAGGAAGGCAGAGGAGGATCATAGCTAATGTTCAGAGTCCATGCCCCCTCTAGCACTACTAGAAAGCAAAGCATCCAACAGCCCTGGGGAATGAAGTGCCAGGAGACCTGTCCGAGTGGCTTTACAGAGCTCCAGGCGAGATCTCACAGCACCCGCTCCATCACTTGGACCATGCCATCAGCTTCACAAGGAGCAGAAGCAATTATTTAGAGACCTTCGGCCTGAATCGAAGGGTGCCCCAGCTGTCCCTGGGCACAGTTAGCAAGCCTGGCTATCGTTCTGATCCCAGGGAAGTAGCTACCTTCAGTCCAGGACTCATGGATAGAAGCTTTCTGTCTGAACTTCTCGGCCAAGTGGTCCAGGCGCTCTAGCCTCCTGATCTCATTCAGCAGCCACTCTTCATAGCCTTTCTCCGCTTGCTCCAAGTGCTGCCACCCGTTGTTGATGTCCTGTAGGTTAAGCAGAGGAAACGCGGCATTTGGGACAAGTGATGAGCTGCATCACGTTGTCAGCAAGACTATGGAGCCCACGAGAAATCCCAGCACAGCCCCTACTTCCAGGACAACTAAGTCAGTTAGCCTGACAACTCACCCCCAATCCGGATATGGCCACCCTCACCCCTTAGACATTTCCAAATTCAGTCTCCACACGTGTAGAGAAATCAGGCTGGATAGGATCACAAGGTCACTTAGTCCACCCTGTGTCCCGAGGTGCAATGATTACATGCACACCCACAAAAGAGGGCTACCGTGCACTGGCAAAGGCTGGGAGCACTGCTTTGAAAGCCATGCCTCAAAGCACCAGCTGTCAGAGACATGTCCAGTTGCTTAAGACTCCACTCTGTCCTCTTACATCCTTGCTGGCCTACACGGGATTTGGTGGAAGAGGCAAGGCTTGAATGGCAGCCCTTGCTCAGTTTTCCCTAAGGAGCACAGGCCCTGCCTCCCCAGCACTTGCTCCAGCATGGGTGGGGAAATGGTACAGCAAAGGACCACCCACAAGGCACTTGGCACACTTGGCTACAGCACCACCCAAAGGGAAGGCTTCCAGTTATTAATAAGTAGCAGATTTTTATCAAATCTCAGCCTACTCCTGTCTTAGCTCTGCTAGATTCGGTGCGACGCACTAAGCAGGATGAGAAGGCCCTCTCTGCTTGGGTCTCAAGCACCCTCGTCTCTCACTCTGCATTTTCAGCCTACCCCCACGGCCGTGGTTAGTGACAGAACAAGGAGCAATGGGCTCCAGTTGCAGCAAGGGAGGCTTAGGTTGGATATTAGGAAAAACTCTCTCGCTAGGAGGGTGGTGAACGACTGGACCAGGTTACCTGCAGAGGTGGTGGAATCTCCGGTTGGTCCTGCTTGGAGCAGGGCGTTGGACTAGGTGACCTCCTGAGGTCCTTCCCACCCTCATTGTCTATGATTCTATAATGCAGCTACTCACCGAAACCATCTTCCCCTCGGAGGGCATGAAGGCAGGCCTGTTGCTCAGCCTGAGCTTGGTCTGCAAGGTATTGAAGTTGATCTCCAGCTGACACTTCTCCTGCACTTTGGGAGGCTTGTGGACACGCCTGTAGTCACGGAAATCTTCCAGCTTCTGTTGCATCTCCTGTATGGTTTTCTGGGGAACACGGTCCTCCAGCCAGGGGATAGTGCGCTTAATCCATTCCAGCAGCTATGGGGTGGGAAGAGGAGATGAGTGAAGTAGAAAGCAGGGAACAGCAGCAGAAATACACATCTTAGCTGATCCTTGAAGGATGGACTGCAGTTGAGAGAGACCTAGCAAGCCATCCCTCCCCTGATCTTGCAAAGCACATGTGCCACTCTGCAGTAAGTCCCCAGATCCCCACAGATTCTACTTCCCCCCGCTTCCCGGCCAGGCAGGACAGCTATGAGAAGACAGTGGGACTTACATCCGAAGCCAGTTTCTCATAGTCTTCCATCAGGTGCTCATTCTCTTGATTCACAGCAAGCACTTTGCAAATCCGGTTAGCCGCAGTCTCGGCCTGCGAAGGAGCACAAGGGGGGAAAAGAGTGATTTACACCCACTGGCCACGAAGCATCGGAGACAAAGAACAAAATGCCACAACTTGTATGACCCCCACATGGCAAACAAAAGGAAAGAGCCACGCGTGAAGCTAGACCAGGTCCCTCAGAGCAACTTCCTACAGGCTTTATGGAAGATCTACCTGCACGTTTTATCGAGTAAGGGATTTTTCCCTTCCAACCTCCACCGGCAGGGAGACCTGCTTATCGCAGATACTGCAGGACCTCACGGTCCCATTGGAGCACCGCCCTGGCACTACCTGTGGTAGTAGGTCTAGGCAGAAATCAGTGTTACCAATGTGCCTCTACCACCTGCATTGCACAGGGCTGTTCTGCTAAGACAAGGTCTCTCAATGAACCAGACATGTAGCTTGCAAGCATCTGGGGCACTCTCAGAGGGGCAGATCCCAGAGGATTGGTGCTACTGCAGCTAAATAAGCCAAGCTCCCAGCATGGCATAAGCAGGTATGATCTGCAGGACCATACAGGCTGGAGTCTCTCCAAGGTAGGGAGAGGCTTGAAGTCCCTTATGTTAACATGTGAGCATTACATGTTTTGCCCTGGGTGCTAGGTACACCCACATCTCGGGAGCAGGAAACTGGAGCAGAGGGCAGGAACAATCCCAAAGTAACTGAGCCCCTGGCAACAGCAGGAAAAAGAGACTCCGATCTGCTGGCTACTAGCCCCTGTGCTGGTCTCTCCCTGGCCTCTTTCTGCTGAAAGCCTCAGTATCTAGTGGCATGCACACACTCACACAGACACATGCACACGCGTGTCTTGTGACAGCCCTGCACATGGTGCTCAGTCACGAGCAAGGGCAGGTGGGCCGCTGCGCCCACACAATGCCCATGGGATATTCCTGTCCTGCTCGAAGGAGCACTGCGAGGCTGGACTCGAGCAGGGGGGTTTTGCACAAGGGTTTGTCAGGTTCATGGTCTGGTGCCAGGACCCTTCTGCCACATGCTTTGCTCCTTACTCCGCTCCCCTGGACTACTGCAGAGCTAACTCCTGAGCTACCTGAACGGGCACTGCTGGGGTGATGTCCTGCAGCTGCACCGTGGATCAGCTGGCACTCATGCTACGTGCACCCATGTGCTTCACTTGCTTGAAACAAGCCCTCATCCCTAGAGCAAAGCCCCAGGCAGACATCAGTGCAGCACACAGGAGTCCTTCCTTCTCCTCAGCATGGAAGGGGGCAGAGGGGGAAGCGTGAAATTGCTCCATACATATTCAGGGGGGAGGGGGGGGGGAAGAACACGTGAAAGCAAAGAAGTCAAGAGGATCAAGTACCTTGCAGGCAGCACAGAAAGAGTCCAAGAGGAGGAGTTGAGAGCCAGACATCAACAGAAAGAGTGAAGAGGGTCTATAGGAGGATGGGGAGAGGAAAACAGAGCTGGGGAAACGAGTTGCTAATAGGAGACACTAGACATCAGGAGTCTGATTCCCTTCAAAACGTAAGCGGCAGCGATCCGGATTCTCCACTGCCTCTGCATCCCGCTGGGCACCACTGACACACGCCAGACATGCCCTCAAAGCAGCGCACACCAGTTGCCACCTCCAACCCCAGCCTGGAAACAAAGTGCAACACACACAAGCGCACGGGAACACACCAGCTACAAGAGGCTAATAAATACCAGCTGATGCAGAGAACATGCCAGCTGCGCTCTGAAGGACTGAGACCAGACAAAGAACAATGGAAAAAAAAAAAAAAAAAGGATTGGCCAGGCCAGGATTTCACACAACACCCACCCAGGGAGCGCCTGTGAGAAGCACACACTAACGCACTCAAACTCAGGCCTCCACAGAACAAAATCACAGGCCAGATGGAATATGTATCAAGTGTGCATGTTCTAAAAATGTTGGCTAACAAACAAGGCGAATGCTTCCAGCCTAGGCAGGATTTACACTTTAGTAGGCAATAAATGAATCCCGATCTTTAGTAAACACTGCTACCGCTGAAGGGGACCTTGTACCAACATCAAATTAGACAACAACGCATGCAAAGTGTCGTGCCAGCATCTTAAATGCGTTTGGGGGTGAAGTCACTGTACCGATTAGGTACAGTTATGCCGTTTTGCCTTCAGTGTTTGCTCTGGCGCTGCAGAAACGACTCTGCACAACTCACAGGCACTCCGATTCAGACGGCTGACCCTCGCGTGAAATAGCTGGCAGTCCTTATACCAGCTCTTTCCTAGAATATTTGGCAGCTGGGACCAACTTAACGTCTGTCCCATGTACAGGCAGCTGAATTCCCACCAAGGAAGCCACTTTTGCCTCTTTGCTCCAATAACACCCAAGGGAGTTAAGTTTCGGGCATCTTGCATTTGCAACCCACTGCTTCCAGTTCTCTCTCTGCCCTGTTGGACTGGTGCTGCCTGGATTTGTTCACGCGGTACAGGAGGGGCAAGGAGAAACAGGCAGAGCAAAGGAGCACTGGGCCCTCCACCTGGACCTGAGCCTTGGGCTTGCTTCAACAGTGATTCAAGAGAAAACCAGTTCTCTTGCAATGGGTTCCTCTTACCATAGTACCCACAGGGAAAG